AGGATCAACTCCCCCACAGTTCACCATCACCACCTGCTGCTGCTGCACCTACAGGATCACCTCCCAACAGTCCACCATCACCACCTGCCGCCATTGCACTCACAGGATCAACTCCCCACAGTCCACTACCACCATCACCTGCTGCTGCTGCTATTGTTGCTGTTACTGCTGCACCTAAGGCATCAACTTTCCCACAGTCCACCACCACTGTGCAGCTGCACCTACAGGATCAACTACCCCACAGTCCACCACCCTGCTGCTGCACCTTCAGGATTACCCTCCCCACAGTCCACCATCACCACCTGCTGCTGCACCTACAGGATCAACTCCCCACAGGCCGCCGCCACCACCACCTGCTGCTGCTGCTGCTGCTGTTGCTGTTGCTGCTGCTGCTGCTGCTGCTGTTGCTGCTGCTGCTGCACCTACAGGATCAACTCCCCAAAGTCCACTACCACCACCTGCTGCTGCGGCTGCACCTACAGGATCAACTCCCACAGTCCACTACCATCACCTGCTGCTGCTGCATCTACAGGATCAACTCCCCACAGTCTACTACCACCACCTGCTGCTGCTGCTATGATGTTGTTGTTGTTGCTGCTGCTGCACCTACAGGATCAACTCCCACAGTTCACCATCACCACCTGCTGCTTCTGCACCTACAGGATCACCTCCCAACAGTCCACCATCACCACCTGCCGCCATTACACCTACAGGATCAACTCCCCACAGTCCACTACCACCATCACCTGCTGCTGCTGCTGCTGCTGCTATTGGTGAGGAGATCCTGTATGACTGCTGGGTCGTTTCTAATCAGAACATGATCTTGTGTACCGACTCTGAACTGAAACTCAGCCTCTGGGTGTTTGTCTTCCGCATCGTTCAGCCAGAGATACTTGTCTTCAGGTGATGTACCTTCAGGGAAGTATAATCTTACTCTCATGGGGGGTTGTGGTTGTAGTTGATTGTCTCTAAGTCTTTCTGCCTTTTCGGCCTTCCGCTTGTTCCTGGACTGAACTAGTTGAAAGCCATCTTCTCCGTTGGTGTCAAGGTCAACACCACAGTCGCCTGGCTCACTCAGTGCATCAGGAGAATTAAAGCGAGTAGCTGGGTCTCCAGTCAACTCAGACATGGTGGAGTTACAGGGCTCGACTTATATGCCTACGTCAGAGGGCCGAGGACTGCTTGGCACTCCTAGGAAGTCAGCGGTGGTTGGGAGGCGTAACCCTCTTAGAGGACAAAGGAGACTGGCATCTACTGTACAGCGTATTAGCGGTGTGAGGGGAGGCCATGAGCGGGCCTCCCGCGGAGGGAGTGTGGTGTCGGGGGGACCAAGGTAACAGGTGTTTTCTCAGTTTATAAACACTTTTATTACACTACACTTGTTCTTAATAGTATCTCTGTTTTTCTGGTTAGATACAGTATCAAAGTCAATTTTAGTTTCAAAAGAACTAACCAGCTTGGCACACTATGAGGACGGGGGGGTTTGTGTAAACAAACCCTCACCACATGGCTGAGCGTGACCACAAGGGTATAGGCCTTGCCTCGCGGGCACCTACACCTACACACGACACAGTGCTCAACACACGGTAGTTCACTTGTTATACAGGCAACATATTTGCAGTTGTTGACCTATCCCCACCCTACTGAGTGGTGTTGTGTTATTTCGAAGTCAAGTGTGAAGCCGACCCACTGTTGTTCTCAGGGTGGACTGCTTAGCACCTCCTTGTCAGGAGATGGCGGTCAGTTCCCAGCGGTGCTTATCTCACCGGCGGGTCACGGCTCTCACTGGTACTGTCTAGTACTGAATTCACTGGCTTAAACACTGTTCATAACTGTTCAACACTGGTTCCACTTCTTTCCGAAACGAAATGTCACTTTTGATTATGTTGATATCCCGGTGGTGAGGATGGGTCGGGGAGAGGGACGTGGGGAATGGGCCGAGCATTGGCCAAGGGTGAGAGCTGCTCAGCAGGAGCAGCGCCTAAATAGGTCTTGACCCTACGGTGGTCAGGTCATCACTGTGGTCCAGGGAGGTGTTAGTACAGGAGTGGTCCATGGGGGTGACCAATTAGTAAAAGATGGTTGGGGGGTTACCAGATAAGCGCAAATAATAAGTGGGGATTGTATACTAGCAGTCAATATGGGTGAGCAGGCAGTAATAGGTAGGGTAGTCTACTAATAGTAGATGGGGTGGCTCGCTTGCAATAGCTAGGGATGGCCCGCTACCTGTGGATGAGGATGGCCCGCTAACTATAGGTGGGGTGGTCTACTATTAGTAGATTGGAGTGTCCCGCTACCAGTAGATGGGGTGGCTCGCTAGCTGTGGGTGGGGTGGGTCTACTAGCGATAGATGGAGGTGGACTGCTAGTAGTAGATGGGAGTGGCCTGCTAACAGTAGGTGGGGTGGCCTACTAGCAATAAATGAAGGTTGCCCTCTAGAGGTACATGAGGGAAGTCCGCTAACAGTAGGTAGGATGGCTTACTGGCAATAGGTGGGGTGGCCCTCTAGCAGTGGGTGGGTTGGCCGACTAGCAATTGGTTTGGGTGGCCCACTAGCAGTAGATAGGGATGGCCTGCTAACAGTAGATAGGGATGGCCCGCTAAAAGGAAGTGAGTTGGCCTACTAGCAATAGATGGTGGTGGTCCGCTAGCAGTAGGTGGGATGGCTGCTAGAAATAAGGGGAAGTTATCAGTTAGCAGTAAGGGTACCCGCTAGCAGCAGAGGGGTGTCCTTCTAGCAATAGGTGTGGCCAGCTAGCAGTAGAGGGGTGTTCTGCTAGCTGTAGGTGAGGAGTGGGCGGTGGACCGCTAGCAGTAGGGGTGGACCTCTAATGACGGGGTGAACCTCTTTAGCAGTAGGGGTGTGGAGAGCTAGTAATAGGTAGGTTTGTTCTGGTAGCAGTAAGTGGGAGTGTCCTGCTAGCAGTATGTGGAAGTGTCCTGCTAACAGTAGGTGGTAGTGTCCTGCTAGCAGTATGTGGAAGTGTCCTGCTAGCAGTAGGTGGGGGCGGAAACCAGCAACGGTCCACGAAATGTCAGGAGAGGTGAGGTCGGGAGGTGAAGGTCTGGGCAGCGGGAGGGTGGAGGAGTTGCGGAGGTATAAGAAGGGTCGCTGGAGCAGACGGGCGGTACATCCTAGGCGGCCACCACTCTGTCACCAACCCCACGACCTCACCACCGCCGCCGCCGTTGTCTTCCCCACCATGGTCTCCTGGACTAGCTTGGTAGGAACCCGCCGTCCTCTGAGTGACCACGTATACTGTACAGACTGTCCATTGAAACATACAACTCACGTGAACATACAGACGAGAACTTTGTGGTGAAACGCGCTGTTGAAACTTTAAGTGAAACAGAACTGAAGCCCCCACGTAAAACACAAGTGCTAACTACAAGAGAGCAAGTGGTAAAACTAGTTAACAAGTACTATTCTCATGGCATATCACAAGTACACACACACAGCACTTAACCTATACTGAACTGTACATTGGCTGCAGCTCAAACATTTTATCAACTAAAATGTCATTCGTTGCTACTTGTAGTGTTGGTGATAGTGTTGCGGGGCCACTACCACTCATCAACACAAACTGACACCACGACCTTCACTACGGAGTAACTATGTTGTCAACAATAGCAACACCATTGCAGCACCACACACACACACACTCCATCACCATTGTATTAGCATTCTCTGTACCACAAAACACTACACAATCGTCTAATCACTTAACCGTGAGCTACAATATACCGTTAAGGAACCACTACTCCAATGACACTAAGCTATAGTTAGTATAGTACTTCTATATAACAGCACCATCACCACACACTGACTACACCCTCACCACACACTGACTACACCCTCACCACACACTCACTACACCCTCACCACACACTCACTACACCCTCACCACACACTCACTACACCCTCACCACCCACTGACTACACCCTCACCACACACTGACTACACCCTCACCACACACCACTACACCTCACCACTATACCACCACACACCCTCACACCACCACACCCCCAACACACACCACACCACCACACCACCACACACCACCACACCCCACCACACACACACACACACACCACCACACAACACACACCACCACACCCCCCACCACACCCACACACACACCTCACCACACACCACCACACACCACACCACACACCTACACACCACACACCACCACACACCACACACCCACCTCACCACACACACACCACCCCACACACCACACCCACACACCACTACACACACACACACACCCACACACACCCACCACACACACACCAACACCCCACACCACACACCACCACATCCCCACCACACACTCACCACACCCCACACACACACCACACACCACACACCTCACACACACCACTACACACACCATCACACACCACACACACCACACACACACCACCACACCCACACACCACACCACACACCACCACACACTCCACAACACACCACCACACACCCACACACCACCACACACTCACCACACCTCACCACACACCACACACCACCTCACCACACCCCACCACCCTCACCACACCCCCACCACCACCACCACCCTCACCACACACCACTACACCCTCACCCACCCTCACTACCCTCACCACTCACCACACACACACACCACACACCCCTCACACACTACATCCTCACCACACACACCACCACACCCCACCACACCCCCACCACACCACACACACGCACTACACCACACTGACACCACCCTCACCACACACACCCACCACACCCACCACACCCCACCACACACTCACACACACCACCACACACCCACCACACACCACCACACACTCCCCCACCACACACCTCACCACACCCCACCACACACCACCACACACCACACACCACACACTACACCACACACTCACCACACCACTCACCACACACCCCTCACCACACACCCCACCACACACCCACACCCCACCACACACCTCACACACCCCTCACCACACACCACCACACCCTCACCACACACACACACCCCACCACACACTCACCATCCCCACACACACCACCACACCCCACCACACACACTCACCACACACCCCCACCACACACTCACCACACCCTCACCACACACCTCACCACCACACACCACACCCACACCCACTACACCCTCACCACACACACTATTTACACCACTGACTACACCCTCACCACACTCACTACATCCCTCACCCACACACACACTACACCACCCACTGACTACCCCTCACCTTTGACAGACCCTCACCACACACTCACTAAATCTCACCACCCACCCACTGACTACACCTCACCACACACACTGACTACCGACCACACCCTCACCACCCACTGACTACCATCACCACACACCCACCACACACACACACCCCACCACCACACCACACACCACACACCACCACACACCCACCACACCCCACCACACACCACCACACCCTCACCCCTCACCACACCACAACCCCACCACACACTGACACACCCTCACCACACACCGACTACACCCCACCACACACTCACCACACCCCCACACACCGACCACACCCCTCACCACACACTGACCACACACCACACACACCACCACACCCCCACCACACACCACCACACACACACTCATACACCCACACACACCACACAGACCCCACACACACACACCACCCACACCCCACCACACACCGACTACACCCCTCACCACACACCGACTACACCCTCACCACACACCCACACACCCCCACCACACACCACACACCCCCTCACCACCCACTGACTACACCCCCACCACACACTGACCACACCCCCACCACACACCTGACCACACCCCACCACACACCGATCCACCCTCACCACACACACTCACTCACACCCCGCCACACACTGACTGCACACCCCTACCACACACTACACACACCTCACCACACACTGACTACACCCTCACCACACACTGACACACCCTCACCACACACTGACTACACCTCACCAATTAACACCACCACACCACTCACCCACACACACCACCACACCCCACCACACCACCACACCCCACACACCACACCACACACCCCACCACACACCACCACACCCCCACCACACACCCACACACCCCACACACCCACCACACCCTCACCACACACCACCACACCCCACCTCACACACACACACCACACCCCTCACACACACACTCACCACTCCCCACACACACACCCACCACCCCCCACCACACACCCACCACACTCACACTCCACCACACCCCACCACACACCCACCACATCCCCACCACACCCACCAAGGCCCCACCACACACCACTCACACACCACACACTCACACACCGACCACACACCACCACACCCTCACCACACACACTCACTACACCCCTGCACCACACACTCACTACACCCTCACCACACTCACTACGCCCCACCACACACTCACCACACACTCACCACACTCACTACACACCACCCACTCACTACATCCCTCACCCCACACTCACTTCACCCTCACCACACACTCACTACACACCACACACTCACTACACCCTCACCACACACTCACTACACCCTCACCACACACTCACTACACCCTCACCACCAATAACCAACACTATCTACAATACACAAACATAATTCCATCATCATTATTAACTTGCAGCTCCCGACCCTAACAGGAAGTGTCATTAGTACTAAATAAACGTCTTTACTTTCACCTTGCAGTCTTTTGTTTTAACTAGAAGACGATTACTTTATATTTTTCTATTGTATTAGTGCATGAGTCAGCATCTATCCTCTCCAGACTGTGAATTGAAACCATCAGTTATTACAAACTTTCGTATAGTCCGTTACTTTATTATGTTCCTATTTATTTCGTTTATTCAATTTATTTTGTTATCTATCATTGTCATATTCCTCGACTATCGGTGTCTTGCCCGTGTAAACAAGGTATTCCGGTATTCCAGTTAGACAGAAGAGCATCAGTGCTGTGTAACTGTACTAGGTCTTACCATCACAACATCTAAAACTTCCCCTTGCAGTGACCTCATCACACCCTTCTGCAGCACCCTCACCTCACATCCCCTGCAGCACCCTCACCAAACATCCTCCTGCAGCACCCTCACCTCACATCCCCTGCAGCACCCTCACCAAACATCCTCCTGCAGCACCCTCACCTCACATCCCCTGCAGCACCCTCACCAAACATCCTCCTGCAGCACCCTCACAAATCATCGATATACGGAACTTAGGTTTATATTTGACTGTATACTTCATTCTGATTATGATAAATTTGGTCAGAATAGCGATTAGTACACACATTCTTTTAATTATTATACATAAAGGTTATTCTATCTAATGGTTTTGTTAGCAATACCCTATTATGTAAAACAGGCGTTATGAGTCCATATTAGGGAATGTAAAGCTTATATGCGGGTCACGCAGCTTACACACACACACACACACACACACACACACACACAGCTCCTCAAAGCTATATGGACCCAACACCCAGACTGTCCTCACCTGAAATAGGTGACCCAGGGTAGCAGTCAAGTTACGGTACACAAGTTGTCCAACGACACTAGGAAGGTGTTTTCAAATTTTCTGAATATTTCAAACTAAAGTATTCGAGATTTTCTTGTCCATCACTTTAGCCACTCACTCTTTATCCATCCAAAAACTGTTAACTTCTGTGTTACCCTTATCACTAATTTCCCTTATCGTCTTTCAGGCGCTGTTGTCCGCATTAGCGGTTAGCGCGCTGAGTTTGCCTCGGCCCGACGAAAGTGCCTACAAAATTCCACAAGTAGGCACCGGAAGACGCTCCCAGTACTACGTGCTTCATGACGACGGAACTTATAAGTATGGCTTCGACACCGGTGAAGGGGCCTTTGAAAGTGCTAAGCTCAAGTATGCCGGCCGCTTGGATGGAGAGTTCGGTTATAGGGATCCTGATGGCAATAATATCCGTGTCCAGTACGAAGCTGGTGAAGGCGGCTTCAACCCCAGGGGTGACCATCTGCCTGCCACGCACCCTGACTTTGATGCAGCCCATGCAGCTGCTCGCTCTCGTCCTCCCTTTGTAGATTCTCTCGCGAATACAAACACCGACGCTTCCTATGGCTTCCAGTTCTCAGAAGATGGACTTTCACGCAGTGAGCAGAGTGACTCGGATGGCAATGTGCGTGGCTCATACACCTATACAGATGAAGAAGGTCGCACACGATCCTACTCGTATACTGCCGGTCGTGGTATTGGTTTTGTCGTTGAGGGCGACGATCTCCCACAAGCAGCCGATGCTCCTGGATCCACTCCAGCTGCAACACGACTTTCTTCTGGTGCTGGTAGATTCTCCTCACAAAGTTATGGCACTGCCGGGATAGCGGCTGTCAGAACTACACCTACCTTTGGAGTACCCACCGTAAGAGCACGTCCTGCTACAAGCTCCGTCAGTTCCACTTCTAGATTCGGTTCAGGAAGTATTGGATCACACACTTCTTCTATCCTTCGCACACCCACGTCCTCCTTCACAGCTGCTACCCCTCGTCGCACTGGCTTTACAAGAACACCAACTCAGTATAGCTCCCCGTCTTCACGTCCCTCAGCACGGCCATACACCGGTCAATTCGAACCTGCCAATACTCGCAGTCAAGTGTCGCCTGACGGGGGTTACGCCTTTGCCTACGAGACGTCCAGTCACTCTCAAGCAGAATCAGGTGACAGAGACAACAACGTGGCAGGAAATTTTGAATTTGTTGCCGAAGATGACGGACAGCGACGAGCTATTAAATATGAAGCGGGATCCCGTACAGGATTTATAGCAGAAGGTCCTCACATTCCTGTAGGACCCGAGGTTCCAGGAGCACCCTCCGGTCAACCTACAGGTAGAATCGTCCCTGTTCAAGAGGTCCCCTTCGTCGACCCTCTAGCTGACTCCATCGCTGATGCCTCCTATAACTTCGCCTTTGACTCGGAGCAATATTCACGCTCAGAGAGCGCAGACGCCGACGGCAACGTCCGTGGCACTTACACAGTGGTGGACGATGACGGCACTCGACGCACTTACCAATTCCAAGCAGGTGAGGGCATCGGCTTTGAAACTGAGGAAGTGTCAACTTCACGTGGTCCTCCTCCATCTCGGCCTACTTCAGCTTCCATTGGTTCAACCTCATTCACTAGCGCAGGATCAGCAGCTTCTACTACTCAGGGCACAGCTTCTCTTGGTTTTCAAACTTACTCTGGTACATCAGTAAGACGACCCAGTTCTCAGTCGTCAACACTACACCGACCATCCGTTTCATCTACAGTTAAACCATCTTCCTCCTTCTCATCTCCTCCAGCAACTGGAGCACGAGTAAGGAGCACCTTTACACCTACCTCGACACGTGAAGTGTTCCCGGGCTTCCAGCTGCGTCAGTATGGTGTTTCAGATAACCCTGAGAAGTTTGGTTATGTCTTGACTTTTGATAAATAAAGCAAACTTTGAAGATGCCGAGATGTCTACCGTAGTACTGTTATCTAGTATTTGCAAGAACAGACGCACTCACACCCACGCATCTACACTTATAAAAGTACATTTATACATATGTATACTTGAACATGACAGCTACCGGCCTCAAGACTCATACAAGCTACGGTGACGGGAACACGCAGATCTGCTGGTCACTCCCCACATGTAACATTATCCACAACGACATCATCGATTATACACTAAGCTTGTACCTATTATGTTAAGTCAAAAACCATACCAAAATGTTGCAAAGACACTAACATTCTTGTTTAGTTTTTGTTAATCTACAATAGCAATAAAGTATTGAAGCTGATATCTTGTATTTTCACCTTCCGTATTACAGCAGAAAGTTTTATTCAGTTCCAGAAATAAAATGATTTATCTATATAAATCATTTTGTCTCAGCTTTCCACTTGCTGGTGACTTCCTCTTATACCTCACAAAACAATTTCCTTATTCCACCTTTAACTAAAACCTTTTTTCCACAGCGAAAATTAGGATTGATTCAGCAAACAATCAACTTGCACGTGCCGGTGTTAGGTTATTTCAACCTTTCTCGTAAAATGAATACAGAGACTATAGCGATAAATTTCACAATTGTTGCTTTTACCTCTGAATCAAGAATGTATAACTGCCGAGACATAAGAAGCAGTATTGTCTGTCTGCAACCCAAGATCAATTCTAGTCTGGAGTTGAGGAATGCTTTCCCTCCTTGTACTGTACCACACTCTCCAGGAACATGGACCTTCGGCCACGAAGAGATAATGTAATACCAGTGTAGTCGTTGCAATCCACCAGCTGATTGCCACACCAGTGAAAAGTTACTTAAATAGAGCATCACAACATCTGTATCATGTTAAATAAATATAGCACCACATTTGCATCATGTTAAATAAATATAGCACCACGCTTGTATCATGTTACACAAATAGAGCACCACGCCTGTATCATGTTATACAAATAGAGCACCACGCCTGTATCATGTTATACAAATAGAGCACCACACCTGTATCATGTTACACAAATAGAGCACCACGCCTGTATCATGTTACATAAATAGAGCACCACACCTGTATCATGTTACACAAATAGAGCATCATGTTACATAGTAGTTACCATGTATCCACATAGTTACACCACCACACCTGTATCATGTTACACAAATAGAGCACCACACCTGTATCATGTTACACAAATAGAGCACCACACCTGTATCATGTTACACAAATAGAGCACCACACCTGTATCATGTTACACAAATAGAGCACCACACCTGTATCATGTTACACAAATAGAGCACCACACCTGTATCATGTTACACAAATAGAGCACCACACCTGTATCATGTTACACAAATAGAGCACCACACCTGTATCATGTTACACAAATAGAGCACCACACCTGTATCATGTTACACAAATAGAGCACCACACCTGTATCATGTTACACAAATAGAGCACCACACCTGTATCATGTTACACAAATAGAGCACCACACCTGTATCATGTTACACAAATAGAGCACCACACCTGTATCATGTTACACAAATAGAGCACCACGCCTGTATCATGTTATACAAATGGCACCACGCCTGTATCATGTTACACAAATAGAGCACCACACCTGTATCATGTTACACAAATAGAGCACCACACCTGTATCATGTTACACAAATAGAGCACCACACCTGTATCATGTTACACAAATAGAGCACCAATCATGTTACACAAATAGAGCACACGCCTGTATCATGTTACACAAATAGAGCACCATACCTGTATCATGTTACACAAATAGAGCACCACACCTGTATCATGTTACACAAATAGAGCACCACGCCTGTATCATGTTACATAAATAGAGCACCACACCTGTATCATGTTACACAAATAGAGCACCACACCTGTATCATGTTACACAAATAGAGCACCATACCTGTATCATGTTACACAAATAGAGCACCACACCTGTATCATACGTAAGCTTGCTAGCATGCAGTGACCTTCATCGATGACCTGTGAATTTAGTTATTGTGTGATGGTGACCACAACTGTGCTACTTTGAGCTATTGCCAAGGAAATTTTGGTCAAACATTATTGTGGACACTAGGAAACCGACGTACAGAGAAAGTAACCCGATAGCAAACACATAAAACCACTTTTTGGTGCGTTGGCCGATGATGGATTAATATCCTGACAAAAGGGTTGAATATCCAAATAGCTGCTAAATTAGATGAACACTCCTCCGGCCACTTTGCACCATATCTCTATATATTATATAGTTTATTACCAAGAGTGGTGAACACTCTAGTTGTTAGAAGACAAGCAGTGATTGGTAGGAAAGTGGCTTACAGGCTTACAGGCTTTGGCATTGAAATAAAGCAAACAGAAATTTAAAATGCCTGTGTAGTGTACTTTTCCGAGAAAAATTATTTTAGGGAAATTAATAAATGTAATAATTTCATTAGAATAAAAAATCACCTATGAGGGGTAGTTAAACAGGTATAGCAATTTTCCTATGCCTATTATATACTTAATATTTACAAACATACACAACAACAGGAAAAGTTTTTCAAAGTGTTACGTCGTCTCTTAATTTACTTTGATATCCAAGGTTCTAGGCGTCACCAAACAAAAAGTAAGTGAAGTAAATTAAATGGGAATAAAAATAAATAAAGTAAACCTTTAAGAGTTTAATTAAATTAAATATTAACACAATAAAGAGCCTCGTAGGCTGTCACAACAAATTGATTCACCATCGAAACTTTTAAGACACAAATGATACTAAACATCGAAACATCAAAAGAATAAAAATAAAGCATTGGATTACGTTAACACTGCATAAACATATAAAATAACTAACACTGAAATTAACTAACGTGAAACAACACTGAATTACTTAAATGTAACTAAGCAAGCACTGATGGACACATAAGAGACATAAATTGGTACTCACATAGATATACCACATTGGTGGTGACAGGAACAACACAGAAATAAATTTAAGCATAAATAACAGGTGACAAGTGTCACTCAAAACAACGTGAACTGAATGACAAGGAGGACTGGACTGCCGTCTGTCAGTTGGTGGACCACTATATAGTATAGGGCCAAATTCCCGCCCAAAACCCCCAGGTGGGTCGTTTAACAATGCAGATGGTCGTTAGAGGAAATGAATGCTTGTTACAATACTAAATGAAGAAATAAGATGGGCTTGAACAAATAATAACAGTTAAAACCTTAACAGCACAGGGTAAGGTGACTAGATTATATAATAGTAAATATAACACATCATTACAGGAATAATATGGAACAACATGGAAGCATGTTATAAAAAATAACAGAAAAATACGACCCGGTCGTAACAAAAGGTAAAAAAAAATCACTGTACAAATGAGCGAATTAATAACAACATTGTGACGGCCTTGTTGAGGTTTCAAGTTACCTTTAGAATCACTAATTAGAGGTGAACTGGAAGCAACATTCATAAATGTTTATGGGTTAAGTTTTCAAACCCAAATGGTCTTTTCTCCATTTATTAAGAAAATTAACTATTACACAATAAATGGGATATCACTGTAATTAGCGTATGAGTTGTGAGCGTTAATAGTGGACGAAGCTTTGGTATAACTTGCTTCTTAGAGCACAAGTCTCAGTGGCTCAGAGACAGAAGTCGAACTGGCGATAGCCAGCTACTTAATTGATGACTCTGCAATCAAGGTGTGAGGACACAGTGGGAATACACTGTCACATATCCAGTTGATGACGACTCACGGCTCATAAGAAAGTTATCGTGGGTGATGTAATTATATAAACCGAATGCATGTAACCCACAGCGATCTGACTGTATACTAAGTTTACAGGTATTACACACAATTGTTACACGAAGTCGTATTTAAGACTGGTACTTCCCTAGACCTAAGAGAAATACATGTATGTGACTTAGTTTAAGTTACCTGGGCCGTGATGAGACTCGAGATGCGCAGGAGGAACTGTAACCATAGGTTACCACGTTGAGGAGTGAGCCAGAAGTATGGACAGCGAGGTGTGGAGTCAAGTGTCTCGAGTTTTATTTTTTTTTTTTTTTTAAGATTTTCAGGAATGTAGATTTTTTTTTTTTTTTTTTTTTTAAAGATTTGTAGGAATGTTACTTACAATGCCCATAAACTAGATTGCTGGTCCGCCCTGTCGAGAAGGGTCTGGCAGCTCATTAAAATAACCTTGGTGATGACGTTACATTTCTCTTCTAAAAATGTGATTGGTTACTTCGATGGCATCAGCTGGTGTTCTGGAAAAAATTCGAGATGAGGGAGACAGTGGTGGGCGGGGTTTACTAGCGTCTCTCTGTCGAGCCGGAACTTCAAGACCTGGGTAGCAAGCGAGTGAGGGATGCGTGACAGTTTAAATTACAATATGTTTTGACATTCTGAATAACTAAATTGGCAATTTATGGCTTCCTTTGTTCTCATGCTTACCTGTACGCTGCTGTAGCTAGTGACATGATCCCTCAGAAGGACGAGAACCCATGTGTCCTTGGCGAGTTTATGGGGAATGTGGGCCTTACAACGTATATTAAAATATGGGCGTGTGTGTTTATATGAAGTTAGATGCAAACTACAGTGAAAAGAACGGTAAATTAGGCATAGTTATGTTTTTTAGTCACACAAAACTGAGGAATATCATTTTGAGCATAAATATTTCAGGGACAGGATAGTGAGGTAGTGTGTATTTGAATTATCAGTATGTTTAGCATTCACTGATTATGCAAATTTTTTTGTCCACAAATTACAATGTTTTTTAAATGTTTTGCGGAACTTTTGTATTAAACGGTTATCCTGTCCTGACATTACTGGTGGCATGCTCCTCTATATTGAATGAAATTATGAAGAGCTATGAAAGGAGTTGAAAGAAAAAACTGAAAATGTAAACAACAGACAGGGAGAGATTATTTTTATTGGGCAACCTCCTCCCCCCAACATCCTTGTGTAACGGAAGCGCAGAAGCGTTTACAGCGCCCAACAGGGAAGCATGCTAAGTTCATGCTTGCCTTATGTCTCATGAGTTAAGGGCGTAGTGTAGAAGCCTGAAGAGTCAATGGTTTCGTTTATGTCGAAGCAAGTTATTGGAAGCTCCAACAACTTGTCCCTGAATACGAATTCGCAACTTTCGATTTACAGCAGGTACCTACTGTGCTGCTAGGTGAACAGGGACCAAGGGGACTTGGAAGAGTGTCCAAACAACTTTCGCCGACTATACAGTATAACAAGCAACTATCCAGCAAATAACTACTGTATATAGTATAACAAGCAACTGT